GGTCAATTGTCTTCACGGTAAACCAGCAGCCTCTCGAAACAGAAATGGCAGGAGTCCACGTAGAAGAAACGTTAGAACCGCTTCGCCAACTTACAGCAGCGGTGATAGCAACTACTCTTGTATCCCCCCGAGGCAATCTGGAAGTGTCAGCTCGCAAGAAAGATCGAGGCACAATCGTGGAAAAGGTGAGAAAATTTCAGATATTCCTCCTTCTCCCTTTCCGTACACCGCTCCTCTCTTTTTTTCTTTTCTTTTTCACTCTTTCAGATAAAGTGCCTAGCTTTTCGAGAATCACTGGCTGCTATCCTCAGCACAATTCATCGGCCTCGAACACCGTTAGCAGTTCTGGAAGTCAAAGGTACAACAAGCTGAACAACGTTTTCGTCGGTGCTGGAAATTCGAATGCTCCTGCAGAGTGTAGTCGGCCGGCCGACCTTCTTCGTGATGGCTAATATCACCATCATTCTCACGAGTGTTGTGGAATCGATCCGATGTGGATTTCACTTGAACTTGATTCACTTCGATCGCAACGAATCGTAACTGTCTCGCGCGAATATTCTCAAAGTACCTTTAAGGCGACTAATCATCACTTCCTCCTCTATGGCTCCGAATTCCTTCGTCTCTCTCTCTCTCCCTCTCTCTCTCTCTCTCTCTCTCTTTCTCTCTCTCACCCTTCATCCCCAATATACATATGTTCTGTTCTTCCTCAATCCTATTTGTTCCTCTGTATATGTATTCAAGTTTCCTCCTCCGGTCGTTTACACATAATACAGCAAACGTGCAAATCTCGATAGTTAACCGAGAATAATGTGACGGTCCATCCCGTTATTCAACCCTCTCGTTGGTTATTCGACGCATAAGTACGTACAATGCCCTTGAATAACGGATAGTGGACGGTGAACGATGAACAATATGCTTGGCAGAGAAGTGAACAGAATTTAAGCCGCACGGGAAAGACTGGAAGAGAGTGTGTCGAATATATCTATACAATAGATTCCAGTATCGGGACTTAATAATTGACGGTTGGTCCGCGTTATTCGCAACGTGGCATTTATTTTCCAGAGACTTTAGATTCTCGCCACTCAAAGTTCCGCGCGGTTCTATTACTTTTCGATATAACGTTCCTAAATGCTAAGGAAAATAACTCCAAGTTAATCGCGTAAGCGCCAACGTATCGCCACGCGATTCTTCTTAAACGAGAGTGTAGTAGTTCTTAAGGGTACAAGAGACGAAATGGTATGGAAATAACGCGACTGACATACGACAAGTATTATATCATATCGAACAATTTTGTACAAGCTTCTTTCTTCTATGAACAGTCCAAGTAGTAGTCGCCAACAGCTGACGATCGACGTTTCTTGTCGCGAATCGAGGATCACCACCCCCCTTTCGGTCGTTGTATTTTCGAAAATAGAGATGGACACCGCGCGTACTACACCCTACGCAACATTGCCGCCGAAACTTTTCTTCGTCGATGAACACGTCAATGCCAATCGCAAGTTAGGACGCGTCTTGTGAGCAATTCTGAGACATCGTTCTATATCGAGAACCGATCGATCGATTATGCGTTTCGAACGTCTCTCTCGGCGGTGCGTTCTCTGTGTTGTAGCGAGGGAACTTGTCGAGAGTCCGGTTGAAATAAAGCTTAATAATCGTTAAGTCGTCGATATCGAGTGGAAGAATACATTCGTTTTAATAATCGCTCAAATTCGTTGTAATTAGTTGGTTGTTGGTTTGAAGCGAGGCACAAGAAACTTGAAGAGCAATGAACAAACTGCCTGGTCGCGAACAAACACTGCCGAATTCCGATTGCAATTCCGTGATACGACGCTACGTAGGACAATATGGAGATCGATGTAACATTTATAAATTAAATGTTAACCATCGCCATCATTACCAACGCATGAATAAAAATTCGCAAACGAAATTGCTAAATCCGTAGTACGTATAGATTTAAGTATAATCCATCCAGAGAGACGAGAAGCAAACGAAAAAATGTAATTAACTGATTGCAAGAGAAAAAGAAGAAGAAGAAGAAAGAAAATAAAAAAGAAACAAGTTCGTTTTTGTAGCGTGTTTAGACGAACAATCGAATCGGAGAAGCGTAGCCATGTAGAACGTATATTTTAAGTATTCACCGTAATCCGATATCCAACACTATCTCCATATAGGTCTGTTTATAGACTATACGCTGAGAGTATGCCAAACTTCATCCGACATTAATCGACTCGTAAATGGTCGCTCTATAGGCGCATAGATTCCTTCTGGAGAACAAACAGCCCAAAAATCTGTATATAAATTCGCGCTCAAAGTTTTCCACCACGTGGCAGAACTCTCGATCGATAGTAGAGTTATATATACTTACTTAGATACTGAAAATAATTCCTTCAAGATCGAGAGCTCACGATACTTTCTCCTTACGCGATAGAATCGCGAGAGAACGATTCTTGATGTCATGCTGAACCATCCTATCAATTTGCGAGAAAAAAGTAATGACGTTATTTTTATAGTTTCTCATATTTGCACGATTGTTACGATGGTTCGCATTGTTTGTACCATATTACGCGTAACCGATATCTACGTGGATACGTAGACGAGAATAAAATATCGCGTACGCGTCGCAATTTACTCGTGCGAGTACTTTCCCCCGCAGAGATTCGCTTTCATTTTCATCCTTGCACCGCCCCTTCTGTACCCCCTCCTCTTTCCCACCTCTTTACCCTTTCGTTTTTCTTACCACCAGCATCACCCTCGATCCAGCACTGCCGGTAATTTCAATTAATTTCTATCTAAATTGCTCCTACGTGCTTATCCACTTGTTCTTCTTGCATTCGTCGTCGCATGTCTATTAACTACACCTACGCACTATAGACCGCCTATCGAGAATTGAAACGAGGCACGGAATGTAACGAGAAACGTCGGTATTCTTCCGTTTGCGAAACCACAACCAAATTAAACGTAATCCAGACTGATTCGTGTTCGTAGAAATAAATTAGACCAACTTTGTCCCGAGAATGGACACGAGTTTAACCAACCTTTCGTAAGTGGTGTGTGGTTTCTTAATCACTGCCAATAGCTAAATAGCCTCCTGTGAAGAGATCGTTACCCATTACGAACTGAGTGGACCTTTTATTTCTTAATTGATTCATTGACTGATAGTAGACGAAAGTGATCAAATATAGTAGAATGTCGAAAAATATTTTGTAGTCACAGCCGCGGCGCACTGATTGATCTCGTCATATCATTAACTTTCAGATCGAACGATCTTCGCTGCTGATCAAACGTTCCGAACCCAACCATCATTCGGTAACTTCGAATTTTACTTGCATCTTTTAGCTCTTAAGTCGACGAATCTAAACGCGAAGGCTGATGAGTGATTTAGCTTAAATCTTCTTTACGTTTTGTAAATAAACCGCATAACAAACAGATATATTGTTCGTTCGTAAGCGTTTTCGTAGGCAATTACTTATTTATTACGAGACAAACGCAGTTTGAACACGTTTTTCAAGAGGAAAACGACGATGCTCTTAAAGTCGATCGATGCAGATTAGTAATATACGCATACTGGCGAACACGCGCGCACAAATGTAGATAATTAAAAAGTAATGATTATTATTGTCAAGTACACTACATATGCATATAAGACGATATACGAAAACGTTACGCAATATACGAGTAACGATTCATTAATAAAAAAAAGAAAAAAAACAACAAAAAACAAAGAGAGAAAAAGAAAGGAAAAGTGATGTTGAAACTTGGACACTATTTTACCAATTCTATTCTTTCCGTTTCTCCGATCATTTTTAACGATTTCTCAAACAATGAAAATAACCATCACTCCCTCTCTCTTCCCCCATCATTCTGTCTTTTGTTTATTCTCACGATGCATATATAAAAAATGCCCGCGAGCGGAAACGAACAAACTGGAAATCATTGTGCTACCACCATCTAGTTTAAACGTTGCAACTTTATTGTAACAAAGGCGGCGGCAGTAGTTCGATAATTATTTACAATTTCGTTCATAAACAAACAATAATATTTTCTCGGAATATTCTCTTATAGTAAAATATGAAATGAAGCTGCATAGATGTATGCATATGTACACCTACGTCTAATCAGCCGCAACCACCACCCTTTCCGCAACAGCTACGCTTAGGAGGTCGATATCCTCTAGAACCGTTACCCATTAATGGATTATATTCTGCAAAAATTTCCACATCTTAATTCTACTTCTATACTTAATTGTATCTTTCCAAAATTGCTATTCCTCGTCTCCTTATAGCTACCTCCTTTTATCGATTTGTGTTTTTTCTCTGTGAAAGATTGATCGTTATCTTTGCTTCCTAGTCTATGTCCTGGGGTAGCATTGTCCAAAATTAATCTTGATGACCTTATCGTCTTCTGTTTCTGCTAGAAAGTGACACAAAAACAAAATAATTTCTTCTCCTCTGCTATCCCTGAGTGCTACTTTATTTAGCGTTTATGATAAGCGAAAAACAAGAAAGTTACATGGAATATTTCAATCACTTACCTCTTGCTCTTCCTCTTGTGCAACTCTACATTTTTTATAATATTCTTCTTGCATTTTTTGTCGCGAAGCTTCTAAACCTGATAACCTTTCTTGCAAAAGATCTGGATCTAAATGTAATAAAATTTTCGTTAATTCTCTTTGGTGAATAGAATTGAATTAAGCAACGTTATTACTGTTTTTAAACATTTCTCCATATTTATTCACTTTTGTGATATTTAGCTGCATAATCCTGTTCGTCCTTTCTCAGCTTCCAACTTGTATATTTCTCTCGAATATACGGCGATGCAAACCAGAAGAAGATTACAACGCCGATTAAATACCATCCAACGGATGCGATGACAGTCCATACTGTATCAATTTTCAAAATACGATTAAATTAAGCTGCCTTGAATCTTACAACAACAACAACACAGTTACAGAACAATTTTAAATTCAATATTTACAAAAAGATAATACTTTCCCTTTAAAAAATACTACCTTCCCTTTTCTCGGAACAAAATCTTTCGATTCGACACATCCGCTAAGGTTATATGCTTTACGTCGCCTGTCGTACGTATGTATGTACATATATACCTGTTCTAAAGTAAGGAATTTCCAACAGTTTCCCAACGAAATAATCCATCTTCTTCCAAGTACCTCTACTTCGATGCTAATTCTACTTCAAATCTTGTATATTTGACAAATGTTGGTAATCCAGATTTCAACGTACAAACGTATTCGACCAATTCGATTAATATCGCATTCGCGCGAGTAGGGGCAACTTCATTTACAACTTGAACAAACAGGTCAACACCATCCTCCAATCGTAACTACATATGTATAAACATAATATTATAGTTATAGATATATCAAATTTAATGGACCATTAACAAAGGAAACTCTGTTATAAAATCACGCAGTTATTGAAAAAATAAATTAATAACTGTGTGTGTGCATTATAGAAAAGAAAAAGCTCGATCCAGCAATCGGCGCGGACGTGCAGAGAAGAAATACAGTAACTTTTCCCCGACTGGGTACTAGGTACTCCTTTGAATTATAGATTTTAAATGTCAAGAGATACGTGTAAGGTACTTACACGTATTAATCAATTGACACGTAACTACACATGTATGTATAATCACATTGGGATATACATACGTATATAAATTATTATGAAGTAAATGCGTACCATATGATAATGTATTTTGAAACACGTTACGTTATACATTAAAACGGAATTCATTCGAAATAGGCATTGTACACTATTTACAATATCGTACATTGAAACATTGTACATTTTAGAATATATTAGAAAACAATTACAATTACGCAATATTTTAGCTAATCAAATAATTTCACTTCAGTAACCGTATTTTTCGTTAAGACTTGTTTTCCCATCTCCTGCTTGATCCCGTGGCGGAACCCACGTGGAATAGTTATCCGCATAAACGTCTTGATCGCAGTATACTTTTTGTTGCTCTTGTCTGTGGTACTTTTTCGTTTTCGTTTCGACTTTATACTTTCGCTGTTTTTCGTTTTTGTCGGAAGATTCGTTCTTCGTAGCAGCGACGTTACTAATTGATCGTTCAGATTCGAGAACTTTCTTATCTGACGAAATATGCGATGAACTTGAAATTTGTCCATCGTTATCATCGCTATCCTCTTCTTCTTCAGACTCGGCTTCCACCATTGTTGCGTCGGCAACCATGGTATTCGATACCGGCAACTTTCTATTTGCATCTGCTCGTTGATTCGTTCGTTTCACCTGTACGAAATTGGTTAAGTGGTGGTATAAGTACACGATATAGGTATAATGTAGATTTACTAGAGAAAATATAGATTTTCTACTTACCCTTTTGCAACGAAACAAAGAACCTTGAAGTTTCTTTGTTTCTAACGGTGTTTCTTGTACAACATGCGCCGACATTTTAACCTGATCTATAATTTTATTCGTAGATTCGGGAGGAGACGAGAGAGCCGGTAAATTTGCGGGTCGTGTCAGATTCAGTAACTTAATTAAACCCGCTTCTTCCCTTCGGAGATTTTGCAATTCTAATTTCATCTTAGCAATATCGCTTTTAGTTAAAGCATAGGAACTTAAGCTTGACATAAATGCATCTAACGCATCCTCCTCCGTCGTTTCTTTCTTTGTTGCATCATTTGCAGTTTGCCAATTTTTCATTGAAGTTGATAAATGTGATATTCGTTTTAAAACTTCCCTATGCTTTTCTAGCTAAAACAGAGTAATAGGAAGAATACTTGCTTCGTTCAATTGACCTCTTAAAGCTAGAAAAGTGTAATAGAAAGTGAGCCTCTACTCCACTGACCAATGAATCATAAGTTTCCACCTTTTCGTCCAATTTACCAGCTAATCGCATTCTCTGTTCGCGCTTCCTTTCCACGGATCCTGTTCTGTCAAGAAAATTGTCTTCGTCCGAATCGTAATAATCTTCTGCTTCCCAATTCCTTGCCTTCCTTTTTCTTGCCTCTGTACATGAAATAATTGAACTTGATAACTAATTTCTAGGTATAAATGAATAAAAAAGCAGTAGATTGATCGAAATGACGAGTGTAACGTAGATGAAAGAGATTATCGTCCTTACCGTGATTTGCTTGCCTTAATAATCCATATTTGTCCAAAATTTTACAGGCTTCTAGTGCACACTGCACAACTGCCTCCTTCTTTTTACCTTTGACAAGGGCTTCTGCTCTCATGGAATGGCCAACGATATCTTCCATGGGAATACTAAAGTATTTTTTAGTTGTGGAGTAGTTGATAATTTTTTTCACATTATTATAAGTGCAAATGCATCCAGGAAGAAAAAAATCCACTTACTCCACCCAACATAAAAACTGTCCAAGTCCTTTTTCTTCCGTTTGATAATGAAGATCGTATCCTTCTCTTTCGAACCATCCTCTCAAAGTTTTTTTTGGATCTTCCAAAACCAAATCATCGTCGGTAATACAGGCATAAGGATTTTCTTGCAGATCCGTTTCTTCATCTGCATCTTCACCCATCCCCCAGTCGATTCCTTCGCTTTCTTCAGCTTTGACTTGATCTCCCTCCTTGATATGCCGCTTCCCTAATTCTGACGCTCTCATTTCCTGGAATAGATAGTAAGATATTACTATAGTCGTGTTCACCAGATAATAGAGATAAAAGACAAAGTAAAAGGACACCTTTAATTCGGTCAGGGTATATCGCGATTCCTCCTCTTGATCATCTGGTGGAGCTTGTAAAATGTATTTTCTCTGGCTGCAACCGAACCTGAGCATATGACCTCCGTGTATTCTAACGTAAACATTAGGCTTTATACGACTTCCATTCCAAAAAGTACCATGAGTACTGCCTAAGTCGTAAACATAAAAGCCTTTAAGATTGTCGTTATCTTGTATGGATCTGTATTGCAAAACTGCGTGATATCTTGAAATGGTCGGATGAGCAAGCAACACATGGCACGAAGGTAATCGACCAATAACATGAAAACTTTGTTCGCTAAGTGAAATTGTCTCCACAATGACTCCAGACTTTAGTACTTCGATTTTATAATCCTCTACTGGTTTGCCCCCCCAAGAGGGTTCTGCATATGGAAAAGGTATATCTTGCGAGGGTTTCTGAGATTTAACATCAGGATCAGCGTAGTAATCATCATTTGTAGATGATTGTGTGTCGTCAGTTAAAGGCGAAGTTTCAAAGACTTTACGCACTAGCCGAGAACGTTTCGGACCAATTAATACGGTGGGCTTTTTAAAAGTGGCGGTATTAGCAATACCGTTGGGATCATCTTTGAACGAATCATCGTTTGTACATTGTTTGGTTAAATCAGTATCGGAATCTAGTGTATCGGAAGGGTCGGACGTCTCGGAGAATTGTACTCGATCGTTTATCTCGTATTGTACATTTCTTTCACCGTCATTCAAATGCTCTTTCGATTCTCGCGCTAACTTTTCAACGCTTATTTTAGTTTCCATAACTTTCGCACGATTCGTAAGAAACAGGTAGTGGGCTAGTTTTCAATGTTTTAAGTAATTCCCCTGTGTGAAAAGTTATTGAAAGTAAATTGCAGCAGGAAACTAAGGACGATACACATGAACGGACAAATAACAAAGCGCGATAACCTCACAAACGCATTCGTTAAAATTTGACGACGCATGACAGTTCCTTTACATGCAGTGTACTTACGCCATCTCACGAAAATGAAAACGAAACATGTAGCCAAATACTACAGATATGTACATATCGAGAGAATATACTTGCGTACCTAAATACAAACAATTAGGTTTAAGATTAAATACATGATTTCCAATAAACTTTTTTGCTATTGAAACAAGAACCATTGTTGTTGTTATGATTTATTACGTGGATAAGGAAAGAAAAAAGGTTAACGTAAGTTAGAAATTGAACAAGCGTAAAACATTTCTTTTAACTTTATTAAAATATCGTTATATTACAAATAAAATTACAAATAAAACGCAAATACCAGGAAGTGATCGCAGATATATCGAGTAACGATGGTCATCTTATTATTACATCCTCGCCGACGCTTTTTCGCGCTCTTCGTCGCAAGAATGGGTTTTCGGATCGTGCAAAAAAAAAAGGAAGAAAAATAATGGATGTAAACGCAATTAAGTACACACACACACACGCGCGCACACACACAACATATATATATATATATATATACGTGAGACACGATCGGTACTACGATCCGATTGTTGAACGTTAAGCGTACAAAATGGTCTACTTCAATGGTAATAATGATTCTTCAATCCAGGTACAACAAAATCTTAGTTATGTACAAATCATCTACGTACACATGCATTGCGTATATATACAAATACATGCAAGCAGATACGTATGCGCACGTACTGATGCTAGCTTGACATGTACATGTTTATATACGTGTATACATGTAATTATAAACGGTATGAATATCCGCGACATTTTGATTTCCAATATCTGGCTAAAAATATTAGTGAGGAAGTTGAGCAGCATTTACCTGAAAAGTTTATAACGTCAGGATGATATCGCACACGTTTCTTATTCTATATCACATTTCTAATTCGTAAGGCAGGGCAATGCCGACCACGGCGGGAGGGACAGGCCCCTCTTTGCTGCGTAGTACCTTACCGCTTATTTCGAAGCTAAGAGACTATGCTATGAGAAGCTAGTGTAGGATTCCTTCGTTCATACCGATTAGTCACATCACCGACGTCATAGTCTAGGCACAAAAAAAAAAAAATGGAAACAACGGGAGAAGCGAAATTGCTCATGAATATCTCGCCGCGTCGATAGATAGCTCTCTGTCGTAAGGCATTTATTCTTCTTCCATTTCCGTTCACGTATTACTCTTTCGCTTTCTCACTTCCTCCCCCCCTATCTCTCTCTCTTTCTCTCCCCGGCTCTCTCTCTCTCTCTCTCTCTCTCTCCCCCATTCTCACGTGCGCTCGTTTTTCATCTCGATTTCTCACACTTGCTGCTTTCACATACCATTTCTTTCTTTCGATAGAAATAGAAAACACTTATCACGAGTTGTGATAGTAAGAAAGTAAAACAATATAACATCGTGTTACATTTGAATCTGAGAAGATGATTACGAGCGCATGAAAATGTGGCGGGCAAACAATCGCTCGTTGTCACGTCGCAGAAAAAGCATTCTACGCCATGACAATCGGACAGCGAATCTTTTCAATCCACGGTGATTTTTTTACCGGTAATGTCGTTATCTATTGTTGGCGATCCAGGTGCTGTAATTTTCTCTTTCAAGTACTGATAATTCTTTAATCTGGAAACTGCGTAATCCTGGAACAGAAAGATTTGAATGAAAATAGAATAGAAAGGATATTTATGGAAATGGGAGGGTGGACTTACCCAATATCCAAATGGAATTTCGGACAATTTGGCGTTGACGATACTCCAGAGTCCCCAGAACAAATGACTGGCCAAAGAGAATATCTTGATTTCCGTGATGATTCGTTCCTCTTCCGACGGTCCTTCTTTGCCGACCGTTCTTAAGTAACTTCTTATAAAGTTGAGCTGTCAAGAAGAAAAGGAGGTTGTTAAACGAGGGGACGATACGTTGCTTGTCGGTTGAAAATAATAAAAAGATGAGTTTGAATAGATAGAAGGTGGTATACATATACGTACATACGTACAAGCATATATACATAGGCGAGAGTGATGTACACGTATGTATATATGCATACATATGTAGATGTTGGAAATATCGGATAAAGTTTAGAATCTTTTCTTTGTCTGTAAAAGACTGAACGTCTAGTAGAGTAGCGAAAAGTAAGCAACTGGAAAATGATACGTAGATTTGAACGGTCCGAACAATCGAGTGAATTGTAATCGGCATGAACATGCGTCCGTAGGGATAATTTTAATTGTTGACGGATAAACGGATAGTTGAATGCGGCGAGAAAAGTGTCTTAATTGGAAATAACGCGATTTTACCACCCATAAGACACTGTACATTTATCGAGTAATGTAGATTATGGATCGACTATCGAGAGTGCGTGGTAGAGGTACTCTAGAGTCGTAGATGCGCAGGTACGGGACTGATGTTGCAAAGGTGGGTGATGGCACCGGGCGTTCTGGTTCCACAACGTACGGTGCGAGACGGGATCCATCATAGCACTGGCAGATCGATATTGCCGTCCATTATTCCGATTAGCCGATCGCAGGCATCACAGCCTTGTGTCTCACCGAATCGTGGTCCTGTGAAACTAATATATACACACGCAGCACACGCCAAGCATTCCCCTCGATCTGCTCTCGATAACTCTCGAACTCGCTCGACCGAATATATATACACGTATGTATACATACATGTATATGTATATACACGATATGCATACATATGTATGTAAGTATGCGCGTTGCGCGGATCGCATACGATCGAACTTGGTCTTGCGCTTTCAATTTTGCAACCGACCGGAATCGGGGTGGATTTACCGGGGGATCGGGTAACGAGAGCCGGAGTCGGAAGCGGAGGCAGAGAGTGAAAGTGAGAGTGAGAGTGAAAGTGAGTTGGCTCGCGACGAATTTTCCTGAATTGTAAAAGATCTTGGTCTCGTTGCGTTCGTTAGGATCATCTGCCTATCGGCGAAAGGTATTTACCGGTATTAAAAGGTAAATATGTATGTAAGATTTGGAAATCGAACCGATTCAGGGGAATGAAACGAGTAAGATTATGATAGAGTTTTCGCGTTAGTGGACAGTTTGAACGCGTTAATGGAAATTTAGTAACGAAAACGATAACGATGGAATCAACGGAGTAGTATCGAAGAGAAAAGAAAGAAAGAAATATAAGAGGGCTCTTCCTTGGAACTGAATTTGCTGCTCGAGTTTGCTCGATTCCACGAGGGCGCAAGACAAGTTGAACGATATAATGAAGGATAATAAAACGCGCGACGATCTTACCGTTCTCATTCTTGTTTTATGTGTTCTTTAAAAGACGAAGTATTCCAACACTTACCTTTTGCTCCTTCGTAGGACCAGATCCTGTGCGTTCGTGAAAGAAAGGATATTCCGCTGCTGTATAATCGTACTGCCATTCGACGAAATGATTGGCTATATCGAATCCTCGATAATTATAAGAACAATATTCAAAGTCGATGAGTACCAGTTCCGGTTTTCGCGTGTTTTGCCGCAGCAGTATATTACCCTCCTGCATATCGTTGTGGCAAAAAACAACTGCATGCTTCTGTCGCGTGGCGAGCGATCTGAAAATACGCAATGCGTTCACATACGTGTACACGATTATCAAGCACTACTAAAGTTGTCTCTTCTTACCTGAACCACTTAATCTCATGATCTAGATCGATTGCCCGTATCACGTTGACATTTTTCAGGTGTCGAGCATCTATGTCTTCGATGTTTTCCAAGATATCTGTGGTAGTGTCTAACCATTTGGCCATGGTATCCCAAAGCCAACTTGGTTCCTTACTGATCGGGACCTGCATCGAATGAATCTGAGCCATTTTTTCGGCAATCATCGAGCTCAAAGTCGGATCCTCCAATTCCTTGGTGAGTAACGGTCTAGCTGGTATATATTCCTCTATTCGACCGCCAGGAAATATACCGTGCAACTTTGGCCCGAGTCGTCTTTCCGACAATAACGTAAAGATCACCGACTCGGTGATCAGCCCTTCCAAAGCTCTTTCCCCATGGATTTGCCCGTACAATCGTAACAGGACTTGCCGAGGCTCGCCTCGAATTGGAACCGTTCCATCCGGTAACTGGACGTTGTACAGCCAATTGCTCAGTCCACCGCTGTAAAGTTCCAGATGAAATGCCTGGTATCATACATATATAGTTGAGTGAATATTGTCACGCAACACCAACCTAATGCGTTTCAGCGCGATGTTCTCCGCGGTAACGTGCTTCCAGACTCCATGAAGATAATCGCGACATATACGTGCAGCCATTTCCCTCATCTCTGGATTCTCTTCAGACATCTAGTAAATAATAAAGAGAAGCATGAGAGACATTCGAACACGTTTCGGGTGATGTCATCCATCGATGATCCAGTGTATCGTCGCTCCTCTTCGGATCGTTTACCGCTTCTCCATTCCGAATATACCAGGGATCACCTACCCATAACAACGATCGTCGTCCTTCTCCTCTTCTTTTCCCTCGTTCCTCTAGACCAGCAAACGTCCACCGGTGGTCTAGAATCAACGATTCGACGCGATATCCTGGACGTGACACGATTCCCGAAGCAGATAGATCCGCGCGTGAATATTACGTATGTTGCGGGTCTGCGAATCAATCTACCAAACGAGCGTATCGCATAGAGATAACAAGGCAAGCGACACGGCATACGTCGTTGCTTGCTGCTTGCTTGCACGAGACTTGCGCGAAAATAACGATCGATATTTCGTCCTGCGTACTAAACGATCGTTTCCCCGCGACCAGGGATACACCACCAGAAAACAAAACCGCTTTCCATACATACTCGATATGTGATCGATAGGTAAATACCCTCGTACTTTTATCAACCGTTTCACAATTCGTCGACAGTCTGTTGTACGATTCAAATAAAACATGTACTGTAAAACTCGGTATACATAATATAACTGGATTATTAATCTGGTCGTGTCTCCAATCTACATAATGTGATAGTTAACGTGTTCTCCGGACATTCTGCAGACGAGTTTTGGAAACTTTTCCTTCTATTAACAGCTTAACAATTATATAATCGTGCGTGCATGCGTGCGTGTCTGTGGTGGGTGGTGAGCACTTAAGAAACGAGATAAAGGGAATTATTGTTCGCTTGTTGAAAGTAACATAATAACCCTGATAGTGTAATTGTGCTAGATTAGCAGATTAAACGTGACACTGTAAAACTATAAACGTCGAATTCCTTCGCGAACCGCGTTCTTTCTCAACGTTTCTTTATGTCTATCCAACTAAAAGGAACGGGGTTGCGGGGAAAAGATATAGCGAAATGTACGATTAAGTATATTCAAAATTATGAAGTATATACATTTCACCACACTTTCTAACAAAACATATTAACCATGGATAATTACAACTTGATTCCGATGATTGCTAAATTGCTGGTAAAAGCTTGTGGCTGATAACGACGACATGATTTATTTTAATTTCACTTCGTTTCAATTCCCTTATACGTAGCTTGTAAAAAAAACCAGTCTATCTACTTAAGTATGTATAGTTATATGTATAGTCACGCAGATCGAAGCTTTGTTGAGACAAACAGCCGCAGCAACGCCTTTCGTTTCATTCGCAACGAGAATGCATGATCGAGAAGAAATTTATGAAAAAACAGGTTGTCTACGATTCGTTCGTTCGTTCGTACGTTCGTTCATCCGTCATCTCTATGCGTCCGTTTATCTTTACTATCGTACATCATACACCGTTTTAAACATACATTTCACCGCGTACTTAGAACATTCGGCTGTTTACAAAATTAACATTATCTTTCGTTTTTTTCTTCTTCCCCTTGCTGAATTCGGTTAATCGTAAAGTTATACCATTATATACTCTGATTTTCATCTACTTATGCAGCAAATCCCTGGTTCGTTCCCCATTTTCGTAACTTTGGTGTTATATCACAAATTTTCTCCCGACCACATACTACCATACATCCCAACTTCTAACACACATACGTAGAATTTTTGAGAAAATTAGTACACGCTACGGTCAAATGATACGCATAAACTTTCTTTTACTGCAATTACATTTCGAAAGAAGGGAAAAAATGTTAAGGAAACGGAATGGTACAGTTGTAAAAATTACATCTTAACGTAAGCAACGTAGTCATCCGATATACACACCTTCTTTCCTAGACCCATCTTATCAGTTGTAATTCGAAAATTCGCAACTTGGATATATCTTCCACGAATGGTAAACTCCTTGCGTTGTTACGCACGTCCTTTTAACAAATTCAACTTGACTGCTGGATCCGCCGTGGTCAATTCGGCTAACCCCGTGACACGACTTTACACGATTTCACGAGTGTCTCGAGAACGTGTACGTAAGATGAGATCAAGGTTAGAATCAGCACGCTGTATCGTGTGAATATCTCTAAATAGAAAAGGACGTGTATTTCTAAAAAACCAAACTTTTACTTGTACATAGGCCTTGTGTACATAAATTTACCGCTGATTCGAGTATGTAGTACAGCTTTACGTTTGATTTCAACGGTTGAGTCACAGTTGTTGTCGTCGTCGTCGTTCTCGTCCTCGTTTCTTTGCGTCTTCACACTGCCTGCCACGTATAGAAATTTATTCCACGATCCAGATCTATTCAGCTTACTCGATACGCGATCCTTTTTTTATTCGAACGAAAAGAAGGAAAAAAGACAATAATCGATAATAATCACACTAGCGAGAAAAAGAATATTCACAAACTATTGCAGAAAAGTGAGATTTACAAATTTTATCAACGCAACTCTTCACAAGTCGCATTAATCTTACAGACGTACTTTGTTCACTCATATATGTATATTTCTCACGCGATTCTAGTTCCAAATACACTGGAAAACAAAATCACAGAATAAAGATGAGCAACTCGTATCCGTATACGCAGCTTGTGTTCGTGCATAAATTGGCACAAATATGCAAGACACGATTCAAGGAAAGAACTACACATGTAATAAACGCAACCAATCAGTGTTCAGCTTTTCCCTACTCCTGTTCCGTGTTTAAACGACAATAGCGCCGCTATGCGGTACTACCATATACCATCGCTATCGTTCTTCTCATTTCACTATATGCATATATAGGAACATTTATTATACCAGTACTGTATCTAACGATATGCAAGCGTGCTCTAAACGCAGCAATCCCCCGCCTCCATTTCTATCCTTAATAGTAACATAAAAATGTCCTACATCTTCTTACAAGATGGAAAAATACGGATTAGCAGCATACGAGCACTTTCGCCAGAATCTATTCTTTTCTCTTTACAACATAAGTATGTATTTACAGCGTAGTTTCGCAACACATCCATATGCACGCAGCAACCAACAAAACCGCGTAAGGGGAAACCCGATTCATCCATCCATGCACATCAGTGTCTTTACTAAAATACGATGCATGTAAATAGGCACCTACTTTCTTACTTTGTATGGATATTGCACCCGCGCGTTCTTTCTTACTTCTGTGGAATACGATTTCCATGAACACGTTTGTCGTCAAAATATTCGCAACGTAAATGAAAATGTTAGCAATTAAATAATCGTGAATCGCGAGTCCAAACTGCTTTCCAGAATGACCCTTTCCTTACCATACCATACCATACCATACCATACCATACCCTACCCTTCCTCACTTCGTATCTCTTTTCGACCATGCGACATTCTGCAACTACAGTTTTAAATCGCTAACCAAAATGAACAAATCCATCCAGTTGTAAGTTGTAAGCCATGCGAGTTTTTTTTCCATGCCAATCTACGAGTACATACACGTAGAAGATGCAACCAACGACGTAACAAATAGAGGAAAAACATGGATCAACAACAATCACCCATAGATAGACGATATGTATTGGGACGCGTTTCTAAGAAAACACGCCTAGTGCTACATATGTATATACCAACGATAGTCGTTTTTCAAAATTATGCCGTACGAAATATTCTTGTCGAGGCTATTCAACTATGACCATGGGAAAATCAAGTACGTGTTATCTCGAGTAACGAGGCTTAACGAGGCCAGATCGAAAACAGATCGAGAACAGATCACGATAACACCAGTTGTTATAATAATTATCGACATATCAAACGAACAATATTTCCATTTCATTTCGCTTTTAATTCCGTTGAAATTTCACTAAATTTTCTTCTCTTTATTCGCACGAAATAAGACAGACGCAATGGGAACTTGCAACAGCGGCAGGAAACAGGAAGGGAATAGAGGTGGGAGGGATATGATATTCGTAACGAGTTATGTATTTGTTCGAAAGATTTTAGGATTGTATAGATAGACGAAATTCATGCGTAGAGATATCGCGAATATGCTCCAATCGGTGTTTCGTCGAGTGAATAAGGCAGATTAGATACTTACTTTTTGAAAAAAGTATTTACCATAGCACACAATTTAACTGATCCGTGTTTCGTTATTTTTTCATCAATATTTTTATATACTTAGAAAAAATTAATTTTCTCCTAGGCATATATATACATATATGTATGTACATGTACATACTTACGTACTTGAATACTCGATAGTTTATTTTATCTTACAGTTCTTATTCTCAATGAAAGCAAATATAATTATCGAAAGGATAAATAAGAAATTCGTATCTGTACATATATCTACAAGTATATACGAGTATATATGCACATATATATTTAGATATGTATATACACGTCACGGACATTAGTGACGAAGGACGCGAGATGTTTCTTTTCATACGATGCAACACTTGTAGCATACCGCCGCTACGCTGATCGCTGTCGTCACCATTGTCATCGTCGTCGTCGTCATGCGACTTTCTTATTCTACAACCATCATTTTTCTTTTACTTGAGAGGTAAGATTGAGTTGACATTTAGCTATAAAATTAAAGAAATCAAATTGAGAGTGAGAGTGAAAGTGACAAGTTGTTATCTCAAATATAGAAATGCCTGAGTATGTTAACCAGAAGTATGTACACGGTAGTTTTACCAGTCATCCGTTGAAATATCCCGGATGCTTTTCAAGGATGCTTTTAAAACTGACAACTGTGAAAATTAATCCGATTTTTTTAATCGTGTTTAAACTCATTTTCATCGGGAAAACTACAAATCAACCACACACCTAGCGGTGCTATTTTCATTAAGATGGGATGAAAATTATAAAATGGTTTGACTATTGGATTGACGATTGGTACTCGTCGAGCGCTCGAAATAATCACATCGATCTATTATCGACTGCACGCCTATTGTTACCGACTGCTCGCACAAACTTCGATTGACGCTTATATGGTTCATAGAAAAATCAGTACGATGGCCTTACTTTATCGCTATTAATTAACAGCGAGACGTCACAGTTTCTCCTACATCTCCCACTTTTAGAACGCGATAAAATATACGTATAAAAGCTGCAGGTTTCCCCACAATTTCTGCTATACGAGTTTCGAGTTTCGTACACGCAGAATTTCATTTGGTTTTTCTGCTGGGGGGGAGTAGTAGATCGATCATGGATGTGAACGGTGAAGAATTAATAACTGTCGCAAAATGGGGATCTATCGATGGTCGAAGCGTAGAGAAGTACACGTTAAAAAATAAAGCGGGTCAAGAGGTGGACATCATAACTTACGGTGCTACGATAACATCCTTTAGGACGCCAGACAAACTGGGAAATATCGCGGATGTCGTTCTAGGCTTCGATAATATCGAAGGTATCGTTATATGTATATATATGTATGTATTTTCCAAAGGCCTTTGTACTATGCACAGATGAGAAATTGGCTAGTAGAAGGAATGCGAGTGTAACATTAATGTAACAATAGTGTAACAGGCCCGCTATCTCTTACACAATCATAAAGGCAGAAAAAAACAAATCGGATGATATCGCGTCGTGTGACGAAGAAAGCGAACGGGACATATCGAGAGCAAGTGGAGGAGGGGTCGACGACAGCGAGTAATCCCATGGACTTGAAAGCAATAACGTACCGGTTTCGGAAGGTATCGTATTACTATGTGAACGTGTGCCGCAAAGAACCCTAAAGGTGAGATTTCGGGAGGGTCACAGATCACGCGATCAGGCGAAGCGAACGTAGTAATCCCTCTTGCCCCTATGCCGTCCCGCTAGCCATATCTTATCTCGGCACAGTACTTACTTGATTGTCATTAGTACAAGGACATGCAACAACTTCTTGCGTCTCTTCCACGTTCTTTTTTGCTTTCTTTCGAGCCATCATATTTCATCCGACTTTTTACAGGCTATTTGTCCTGGGATAAACTATATTTCGGCTCAACGATAGGCAGAGTCGCGAATCGTATAAGAAATGCGGAATTTACATTGAACGGAGAAAAATATCATTTGGCGAAGAATGTAGGAGAATTTATTCTTCACGGTGGTTGTAAGGGTTGGAGTATGAAAATATGGAATGCCACGGTTGAAAGTAATCGGCTTGTGCTTTCCCTGCTAAGCGAGGACGGTGACCAAGGTTTTCCTGGAGCTGCCAACGCTTCGGTCATTTTTCAGCTAACCACCGATGGAGAATTATGTATGGAAATAAAAGTTTCTGTTACCAAGGCTACTCCTATCAACTTGACTAATCACGCTTACTTCAATTTAGCCGGTCATGTTCGTAAACCAACATTTAACCTACCTTCAAGCAACATGGCTTCCACTTTCTGACAACTAACTTTGATCGAATATACACCTATTTCAGAATGGCAACGCCACGGAACTATACAAACATCGATTTATGTTGAATGCGGATCGTTGGACAATCACGGACACGGACAATATACCCACTGGAGAAATACGATCGGTTGTTGATACTGTGATGGACTTGAGAAACTCGACGACACTTGGAGATGTCATTGATAAAGTACCTGCCGGTGGTTACGATAGCAATTTTTGTGTAACTGCGAGTGATACCGCTAACGAAAAAAACTTGGTCGCTCGAGTTTTACATCCGCCTTCTGGAAGATATTTGGAAGTTTTTTCGAATCAACCTGGAGTACAATTTTACACGTCTAACTGTCTACCCGAACGAAATAAGGTGGGTATTCAAGGAAAGAATGGAAGCACATACTTCAAACATGCAGCATTCTGTTTAGAGACACAAAATTACCCAGATGCTGTCAACCACGTAAGTATCGAAATTGTAATTGCAGTTAAAACGAATAATTACATACATACATGATACAACATTTGCAGGAAAACTTTCCCAACAGTATACTGGAACCTGGACAAATTTATCATCATATTGTTATATACAAATTTGGAGTAGTAGCTTAAATAGTACATACTAGTTCTCTGTAGGGTGCAATGCAACATTAGATATTTCTATATACATATATACACATGTAATAGAATTATATTTTAATAATTTTCTTCTATCTAATATAACCTATGAATGAATATCGATACATTAACATTGTACCTTTGATTTTACATTCTTTCCAAGCAATTCCCTTCTTTTCTTTCATTGTACATAATATACCGAAACCGCAGAAACGATTATACAGACAACGAAGGTGGAAGATTAACTTCCAATGGGGAATGTTTCTTTGTGCCAGGCATAGAATCTATATCTTTCAGTAGTCTTTCTTCGCGTTGTTCCGTCACAGGGGCGGTTGGAGGTGTATAACGATTGGATATAAGTCCTTCTATGTAATATCCAAGAACACCAAAAGGTATACATATGTAACCGTTATATCTAGCTAAAATTTTACCCAACACTGGCCACATCTTCTGAAATCAAAGTGCAACAGGTATACATTTTACTATATTCTTACATTTAAAATTTATCCAATTCGCTCGACAACAGTAACATTTTTCACAAAATTTTCACATCAACATCGGATATCCTATTTTTTTAGACTTTCGTTCATATTACCTTTTACTGTTTCGTGAAAAGAGGTTAGAATCGTTATATAGCATATATAGATAGCTAAGATACGTGTATGTACTTATATACATACGTACCTATATATTTATTACGAATTCGCAATTTCTATCGATCGACGTATGATTCGCAATATCTAACAACGTTTGAACACGCGTTTCAAACGCGTCCTTGGTATGTACGTCTCTATAAATTTTTATGTAAAATATTTACCTTTATATCGATGGTAAGGATACGATCTGATGTGACTAGATTTTAAATTGTCCCACGTTTGTAACTGGAACGGTAACATCAGAAAGAAGAAAAAGTTAACGATACGAGTTTTTCGAATGCAAATACATCCTAATACGAATGCACCTCAGCGCAGATTCTCCTTCATAGACGCGTCAAATGCCGAGCAACACGCCGTTTACTGTACATACAAACAAGCCTAAAAGTGATGCGTGTGTGTGGTGCATCACTGCGGAAGGATCGTATGGACTTAATCAGTGACATACACACGTCTATTAATTGCGTATAATTGTAGATAATCTCCAAGAGCAATGGCAGATAATCAATAGAAAATTCACAGTGTATTGGCCTTTGCCTCGAACAATACTAACTATTTACTACTATTTATTACTGTGGAAGAAAATAGTTGTTAATGTCACGTCCACTCTCCACGATTCTCATGCGAACCCGCCGTGACGTTCACGATCTGTGTTTCTCATGCGAGTCCGCCTCAAGTGTACTTTGTAATCATAATTTTATTTTATATTTAAATATAGTTGGTACAAATTTTATCACAGCATTGGCATCTCCACATAATTTTAGTTGTAATTTACATAAATGAATGTTAAAGGGAATATTTCAGCGTCAGGCATCTCTTGGACACTTCTGAATCGTTCATGCGTCGCATCACCGACGTGATGTATGCGCGCGCAGCAAACGCATGCGTAGCTCTCCGAAGCGCCAAACTAATATCGGAGTTGAAAAAGATGTTCTATTCTTCATTCATCATTCGTTGTTTCTTCGTTATTACACGCGTGATCATTTTAATGTTTGTTTCGTGAACGATCCGTAGCACGGATTGGTTGGCCCTCATATAGTTGTTTGATTTTAACGCGGCAAGGCCACAGAACGTATATACATGTAACTTTATTCACTGCAGTAAACTTTCCCAATGGAAAAGTTTCTAGAGTCGACATTTAACAACCTAAGCAATGCAGCCAACTTGAATCGGGCTTTCTTGTACCGTTGAGAGGTTTCTAGGGACGCTGGAAAAACGAACGAATCAGACGCGATATATCTCCGCGCTAAATTTCTATCGTTCGAAACGCATTCTGTGATTCTTTGATGAATTCCAATCAAAAATTGCTTTTGCCCATATAGTGCGTTAATGAGAACACAAGTTCTATGTATGTACTTTCGAAAACAAAACACTTTTTCTTTATTGTTGTGAGGGTGCGAACTTTCAAAGTGAATGGTATAAGTAGCCTACGATACCTTTCCATTATAAATCTAGAATTAGAGATACATCCAATGAGCTGTATTATGCGTGTTTGTTTACATTCAAACGTACATTTGATCTTCGATTACAGATTCATTACCGATTTACACAAAGTATATTCGTAGTTTACACTTTTCTCTTGTAAAGTTACGTACGTTCGCAGAAAAATTTCGTGTAATTTGAAGATTCGAAGCTCGAGCACGCGCGTCAGATGTAGCGTACGATATACGCACACTGATTCATAAGCACTGGTATCGTTCCGTTGCTCGCTTCGTCTACGATACAAATTCCGTAGTTTTTGCTCGCGTATATCGCACACCTTTTTGTTTTTATTTGTGTGCATGCGCGCGCGCGCGCGTGTGTGTGAGTGTGTGTATTCCTCGCGAAATGATTTTCGCGACGTGAACTTAAAGCTATCTCATCGTATCGTTAACGTTATTTCGATCATTTCACAAAATAAACCCTTAACTACTTTGTACAAGTATAATATTTATAACTCTATGCGCAAATTTGGTTTCAGTAACAGAATACTAGAGGATTCTACTTGACTAGTTTTATGCATCACTAGGTTTGTTTCGATTGCGGATCTGTAACTGTTTGGAAAAGTCGCGTTATCGGGAAGTGCAAGACAAATACGTATAATTATCTGTAATCTACCTATAGCGTTTTCTTCGTGTACTTATTCATTCGTATGCTGTTTCGTCGTCTAAATCCTGACGACGAGGAAAATGTTTTAAACCAATCGAAGGCTTCCTTATGTCGAGACGACTGGTAAATCGCGATTTTTTTTAATTGCATTCATCTATCTTTCGCGACAGGCTTAATACAAGCAGTTCGCTAACACGTTACACATCCATAAAACAATAATTCGGACGAGATATATTTTTTTTACTCGAGGATATAACTGTTACTTTAATCTTAACGATTTTTCTTGCTACCTTTCATTAATCGCGATGGTGGTTTTTCAAAGAGACCCATTACCATGCTAATTCAACAAGATTCTTTTAAAACTAATATTTAAAATAAATAGAACACGACAAATTTGCGTCTTTTTGTGATTTTAATATCGATTCTATCTTTCCGTATTGTTATTATTTGCACGTTGCCTTCATAAGGGAAGCGTTTAAACTGTATCGTATTAGGAATAGCTAATATTTTCGATAATGTACACTTTAATACGAATTTCCGTTTTTACCGATCGCGTAACCAGCAAAGGGTAATTTGCCAAGAGCAGACAACGAGATTACAAAAATTTCGAGGAAATGGAGATCTCTTTGGGAGAAACCACGTGTATGCAAGGGAGAGATAAAAAGAGGGGAACAGAGGGTGGATGAGTGAGTGAACGAGGTGAACAGAGAGAGAGAGAGAGAGAGAGAGAGAGAGGGGGGGGGGAGAGGAGAAACGAGAGAGAAGCACGTAGAAATACACGAAGGAAGAAAGACTTTTTTTTCCGTCCGTTAACAACTATTGGCAGACATTTGCTCGAAATTAATCCGCTTCGATCTCCTGAGTTGAGTATCTTTGAGAGTATATAACGTACATAACTTAAACACTCAGATCGATCTTTACCATATTATATCATCTCTGATACTTTTATAGAAGAATATAGGAAGAATATGTATGTTTAGTATCGGAAATTCTCGGCTCTACCTGAGCAGTGGTAAGGGCCAAAGGGCAATAAAAAGCAGAGTGCGAAAGTTATGTGTGCGGTGAAAAAAAGCGAAGGCATGAAAGGAAAAACTGAGTATAAATAGAGAGGAGGGTGGCGAGTGGAAAAAAGGTTGTTGTTGTTGTTGTTGTTGTTGTTGCTGTTGTTGTTGTTGTTGTTGTTGTTGTTGCTGCTGCTGTTGCTGTCGTCGTCGTGTAAAGAGTGTCTCGTAAAGAGTCGTTGTTAAGCTTATCGTGTCCGAGTCGTGTTAGATCATTTGTATTAATTGAATTCATTTACTGTAATAACTGTTGTTGTTACTCATGTTAAATATATTTATAAACTATTTAGTGAGAAAAGAAAAGAAAAAAAGAAAATGAACCTTTATAGATACCACAAATATTCTTTGAAGCACCACCAATTCATGTAATCATGTTTGCAATAGAGTGTTGCATTAAAACTAAATATATTGACTTACGAATAATCCGATCTAGAAGAATTTCTAGCTCGTTTGCCGTGCAGAACTTATAAAATTCACCATGTTCCGTCGAGTTACATATTGTTTTTGCTCTGGAACGTGTAACAAACACATTTTAACCAAGGTTGCTTTATCTAAGGGAAAAAAAGAGAAAGAGAAAGAAAAAGGAAGAAAAAAAGCAATGGTTTCTCACGTAGAGATAAGATTTCTGATACTTTCCCTCCACGGAGGTCTTGTCTTCTTAACAAGGTTTACGCCACGACACTTTGACTCGAATCATCGACTCGATCAAATGACTATTTCGTCGAATGGTTATTTCGTTGCCTCCTGTTGCACGGGGAGATAAACAGGCTCCAGAGATTCGAACGAGCAGATCGTCAAGTTTGTGTCGATCGTGATAGAAAGAAAGAGTCGATTTGGTCGGTTTCGTAAATGCTATACCTCACGATTCTCTGCTGATTATTGTCGCGTTCGATATAGGTCGAAATCTGCGGCATCTGCAATTAAGATTGATTCGAATCGGTAATTGAGAGAGGTTCGAGCGAATGAAAATTGGATAAATGAGTATCGTCGCAGCAGCGTGTAACGAAGAGAAACGAGCTATCGATACCTAGCATTGTTTTCTGCAACATGTGGTGGCAGAGACGTAGGAGGTGGTGGAGGTTGAGCATTCGGCGGACCACTGCTATCAGAGTCGTTATCGCTGCTCTCTTCGGTTCGCTTAGCCGTTTCTCCCAAAAGATGCGAAGGAACTCCTCTAGGATTATATCTAGGTAACAACCTGCGTTGTGGTCTTTGAAATCGCAGGTTTAGTTGACTGGCATCGGTTACGTATTTTTCACTTTGTCTTCGACGAAGTAACGCTGGGGTAAATCCAATTAAATGTTCATCTTCTATCGCATTAGCCGACGTTAAAGGTGAAAAGATCGACGGTTCATCGGGCAATGCCAAGCAGCGTCGTGATACCTCCACTGTCAAGCGTTTGCCTTTGACAGCTAAAATTTGGTAATGTTAGTATCGCTAAGAAGCTATATACCCGATATTAATCGGGATAAATTCGCTTCGGAAACACACATGAGAAGAACACAAATCAAACGAAGGATCTACCTTCTTTTATATGTATTTTCCCTTTTCTACATTTCTCCCCTCCCCCTATCCTTCTCTTCTCTCGATTTCTCAATCGTTCTCGTTTTATTATTAAATCTAAAATGATTTGATAACGTGTGCCTTTATAACGTTCTACGCATGATTTATCGAACGGCAAATGTATGCACGCACACAAATACACACACGCACACGTTAAAAAGAAGAGAAAAGAACGAGGAGAAGTTGAAGCAACTTTTCTCCTCAAATGTCTGACCATGGACATTCGGAACTATTATTATGCGTATATCACATACGAAAGAAAAACGGTAGGAGGGAAGAAGAAAGAAAAAAAAAAGAAGAAGCGGAAAGTGAACATGTTGAGTGTAACATCATACCACCTTTGAACTACAATTTTTTTTACCATAATTCGAACAGATGATATCTCTCTCTTTTCACAATTTACCGTTTCTCATTGGTGTATATTTACTATATGTATGATAATATCTGTGTTTGAGAAACGGTCCTTTATTGAAGTTACGATATCTTCGCAAAGTCGCATCGCGTCGTATACGAAGTAAATGAAAAATAAAACGGTTTCTCAAATCTCTCCTATATTTGTAAGCATTATTCACTGTCCGTGAGAGACAGAATTTGAAGTAACGAGGAGGAGGAGGAGCATCGTCTCGCTCAAACTGTTCGAACTTTGTCACTTTCGTAGAAGAGGAGTAGTTAGACTCGTAAAATATGTTAAACAGACACGTACAATGTTAAACATCGCATGAGGTTTAGAAAGAGATAGATAGAGTCGTAAAATTACAGTTTAAGCTAAACGGAAAAAAAAAAGTCTTACTAACTAGCATCTTTTTCCCTGGTTATAGCCGTAGGTGTAGACGATTTTTCTACTTCATTTCCCACGCCACTCCTGGTATTTTGAGTATTCGTTTCTGGCGTCGATTCTGATAGCGAACATCGAGGACTTTTAACCGGAATTGGAATTTTACTGACAGTATTATGTAGAGTCCTACAAGGAGCCTCCTTTTCTTTATTGTCCTTATATTCACGGAGTGGTACTACGTTCGGTATAGTGGTCGAGGCAGTGACAGTGCTGTTCTCCTTAAGCACCACATCATCGGCAGGTGCTCGATTTTCAACGGCATCATCGTAAATCGATGGTTCTTCCATTCCTGGATTAGGACTAGCCGGGCTGTCCGCTGTACCGTTTGTCATTTTTCCTATGAAATCACGTTTAATCAATCAAATAAAATGGTAAACTATCAGTGGTGTAACAATTACATCATCTTTTTCAGATAACTTCGGGACCGAGACGAATCGATGCGAAAGACAACGCAACCTCAGAGGCGGTGAAAGTGTAAAGAGAAAAAAGGCTGGTCAATATACACGTACTCTACTACATACACATATACGTACATATACACGTGCATATATATACATACATGTGGTGAAAAAGAAAAAGTTGGACAAACAATGGAGGATATGTGAACGCGGGGGTGTACGTGTGTAGTAAAGGTTGTTCGTGGTGCTCACTTTGCAATGGTTCCCTATCCGCGGTGGTTTGCACAACGGTAGCACCACCAGTCGCGTCAACTACCCTAATCTCCAGTCTTCCTGCTACCGCTTCCTCTTCCTCTTCCCCACCGGGGGTACTAGGTACCGTGTTAGGAGGCGAGAAAGCAACTGCCGGTACGCTTGCTCTTCGCGGTGAAGGACTCTGCCTTGGTTCGTCGTAACGCGTCGCTATATTTCTCATCACGTCAACCTCGTACAACAAATCGTCGAATGCAGCCTGTTGAACCTGTTGTTGCGATAAATATCAAAACGTGTACATATACGATAGGCGATAATCTATTTTCTCGTAAATTAGATTTTCGTAAACACGTACCAACGGTGCTTCGAGATAAGCGCGAACATGCGACGCTAAGGCGGGAACGCTCCAAGCGCGTGGAAGTGCCCTTTGGAGGTCTGGATATTTCTCGATACCAGCGATATTTAAACATCTGTGGGGAGGGGCAACGGGCTTTGGAGAGTCTTCGCTTATTCGAGACAAGGCAGTCGGTATTAGCGTATGTTGAGGCGCGACCGACGTTGTCACTGATGATGATTGAACCTTCGTCGTTTTCGCATCGATAGACGGAGGCACTGAAGTTGCGCTAGTCACCGCGTCACTTCCAACTGTTGACTGTACGTAGAAATTTTATACAAACAATCGAAATCTTGCCTTTCGTTCTCGATCAATGTTGCTATCTATATGTACAAAAGACAACGCGAACTTAGCGACCACGACCACGAACACGCACACGATCTCTCTTTTTTCCCTACCATATCTTTTCCCCCTTTTCTTTTCTTTATCGTCGTCGTCGTCATTATTATTATTATTACTATTATTCTACTTTTGCACAATATAAAGCATGCGTTTCTAATGCTATATGTTTCTTTTCTGAATGGAAAAATCGTCGATGCGCGCGCGCGCGCGCATCTCGTTGAGTTCAGAAAGAGTGAGTAAGGTAAAACGAGTAGTTCGGTGAATGCGAGAGGCGTTTAGCAGTTGATCTATATTCGAAAGAGCAAGAAATTTTGCAAAAGTCAAAAGGTAGCAAACGTTGAAAAAATGATAACAACACAAAATACAGAAATACGGAAAGATATAGAGAAAGCTTGTAACGGTGATAGACAAAAGGGTCTTGATTCGATTCTGTAGCAGGTGTGTAACAAGCGCATCAAGCGAGGACATCGATACGGGGGGCCAGATGCGGCTAAAATATCAACACACGCTCGTAAGTTTTCGACATTTAGAAATGTATGTTGTATGTAGTATGTTGCGAGATGTGCGAATTCCACACTGCATCGTTTCACCTGTACGCGTCTCGTTCTCGTGTCACGTAATCGACGAAAGTGAGAAAAAAGGAAAAGCAAGACGCGACGTGATTACTTAGAATTTTACTAACGGAAGTCTGTCGGTTTAAACTAAGATCATTTTAAACGTTTACCTGCGGAACCATAACCGGCACGTTGGTCCCTTTATGCTCGGGACTTTGTAAATTCTCTCCTTTCCATTCGTTGTCGGTCTCTTCGGAATCATCGAACTGTGATTTCCACTCGGAGACCAGAGTCAAGCCACCGCCACCTTTCGTTACTTGTTGCAACGCTGACACGTTGTCGTCGTCTATCTGTGCGAACTGAGTGATAGAACAGTCCCTAATCACGGTACGAATAGCTCTTATCTGTTGACGTCCATCCGTTCTTCTTCGCGGTTCTCTTTTTAACGGTTCTCTCTGTTCCGTGACCTACGATCACACAGAACAGAAAGGTGAATTTTAGGAACAAATGATTCGAAATCGAGTTGAATGCGACCGAACGAAATCATCTCTTTTGCTCTATACTGCACACGCACAGGACTCTGATTGCCAACGTTTTTTGGATTAGTGGTAACATCGTAGGAACAGTAAGAAGCATCAACTTCGGTTTGTACTCGAGGACTGGGTGGTTCGCCAGGTGCAGGTGCTTCAGGAGCAGGTGTGACGCGTAATCGTGCAAATGTTGCGCCACTTGCAGATTTTCTTAACGGTGCTGCAGCATTGGCACCGATTTTGTTCCGAGGAACTTCTGAAGCGGAACGAGCGGATGCCATTAACGCGTCGCCTTCGTTGTCCACCCGTTGTTTCTCCGTTGTTACCACGCCTGTTTGAGGTTCCGCAGCCATCGACACTGCACGCCTCTTTTTAGGCGAGTCTACAAAGTAAAAGTAATTTAAAAACGGTAACAAGATCGCGGCTAACCAGCAGTTCAAGCGAGTATACGCGCGAGTCTGCCTATTGAACATCTTTCGACTACGTCGTTCTTTCACACTTAGAAAATAACGACCTTGAGTTTGTTGTCCAGTTTGTTGTTGTTGATGACTGTTGTCCATCGTGGGTATCGTGGCATTACAGTTTTTATCTCGACCGTGATTACTGATAGCCGATGTGAACGGCACCGAAGAACCTTCTACTCCCCGTTGTTTATTTCTCCTACATATACTTTCGTAATCCATTTGTGCCTGCAGAAGAAATACAGAAGGGAAGTAATGAGAGAGAATAACCTATGTAATCTGCTGCTATATGAATATGCTATACGAATCAATCCTATGTCTAATCCCTATCCTTACGTCTAATTCCTTTCTGTTGTCGGGTTCGACGTTTTCTTGGTTATTCGTATCGACGTTTGGCGTGGTTGGTGGTTGATTGATCGTAGTCGCTGTGGTCAGTACTGGAGCTATCACAACCGTAGGTAGAGACCTGGTAGTTGATAAACTGTCGTTGGATATCAATGGCTTCTCCCAATCGTACGGATCGTTCGTTTTCACTCCTCTACGTTTCATACAACGTTCGAATAAATTAGCCAGCATCGCATAATCCGGGTTATGCTCATATCCTAAACTCTAAAAAGAATATTTCACTTATTGCAGCTTTGCTCCTACATGCGTATAAATTAAAAAACAACTTTACAACTTTCTACGACCTTTCTACTCTTCGATATTACATTCTAAATCGTGTTCGATCTTCCACATTCTAAACACACCCACCCACCCCGCCTCCACTTTCGACCTACATTTTCACAAACCTGTACATACCTGAATGTGTTCCAAAAAGACACGAAGGTCGGAAGGAAGATGCTTTAAGAGTAAACGGTGATCGTATTTTTCTTTCATCAGGCCCACCTATATGACAAGTAGAAAAAAAAGAAACCAGAAGAAACGATACGTGAACGTTTATTGTCGCATTTAGTGGAATTACATTTCCCTGAACAAGATAATGGAATCAAATACCAACATACCTGTTCTTTATCCTTTATTTTCCGCCATGGAAGTTGTCCATTAACAAACTCTACTAGCATGTAAAATAGTGACCACAGGTCATCGTGTCTGCCCATTTCTTTATTTTTGTGCGCATTCACCGATGCGTACCGGACGGTTCCTCGGAATCCTGCCGCGCTACGAGGTGGTCTAACTTCACCGGTGCCTGTTGTAAATTGACGAGCTAGACCAAAGTCTAACATATAAACCAACCTCGAGTTGTGCGGAAGTCGTCCGATGGAAAAATTAGACTGCAAACGTAATATAAATCAACACTGTGAAGAAACAATGTCGACGATTTATTGCACCAATTCACGACGAATACTACACATTTCTCGCGTTGTCTCATCTTCGCTTTCGAAGGTGCAACAATCGATGGCAATAATTGATCCGATAATCGATGTATCGCAATGTAAGCCAAAAGAAATCGGCATCGTTGTCGAAACTTGTCCTTTGACAGTGTTCAAGGTTGTGAAAGGACAAGGTTTCTGTAATTATCCGTTAGCCGGGAAAGAAACTTAGTGCCGAAACTCTAATGCAAAACTTACCGGTTTAATATCTCTGTGAAGAAAGCCCACTTGATGTATGCTTTCTATCGCCTTAAGAATCTGAAGTCCTAAACGAAGTGTGGTAGACAACGAAAAAGCACCTCGAGGCTGAGCACGACGCAACTCTGCCAAATTCTTCCCTTGTAGCTGCATTACGACGTAATTGAATCGATCGTTACGACCGCAGCCTATGAACCTGCACACGTGTTCTCGACCTACACCAATGATTATATGCAAAGATTATCAACAAAGGTGGCAGCACTCTTATTATTAGTTCACAATTCGCAAACATATTCTGCCTTTGATGAGCAAACCATGCTTTCGAACCACTTCATGTTACATCTCCTATCTGCCTAATAAGGTAAGATTACAACAAACCCTGAAGTTTCTTCAATACTGCTACTTCCATCTTAAGAACCTGCTTTGGTTGGCGAGCTGATTCAACTTTTAGTGCAACTTGCTCCCTGGTCATTAAATCTAGGCCTTCGTAAATCTCACCAAATCCACCACCTCCTATCTTTCTGACCTGCACAACAAATAACAAGTCACTGTACAATCCAAAATAAACAGGGTGATTATATTAAACGAATTTGTCGAAGAGAGAAAAAGAGGGGGAGGAAGGGAGACCGAGAGAGTGAGAGAGAGAGAGAGAAGCAAAGAAAAGAGATATAGGTAGAGGCAGGAAAATATCAATTAACTCACGACTTTCCAGCGTTCTTTGACCACATGGCCAGGCTGCAGCAAATCCTCACTCGTCATAGTTATATTATTATTCTGATCCGTACTTTCGTCGCCTACATTCCTCGGCTGCAAAGTGTTAGAATGATCGGGATGCCTGAAAAGCGCAAGCGATCCCTATTACGAAATTCGTCAAAAATGAAAAAGAGTAATCGCATGTTGCAGGTCTTCGAGGCCTCTATTAGCCTTTGCCCGGTACGCGATAAGCGGCAAAGCGGATAAATGAGAACGGATACGAAGATGGGAGAACGATGAAAAACGAATTGATGCGATGCAAATCAGCACAACGTGAAATTCCTTGACGCAGCAAACTTTACAGCTGTCAACGTGATACAAGCGACACGCCCCGAAGCTGCGACAGGTTAGGTTTTTAACCTAAAGCATATTACGGCAGAAAATTGGTCGATACTGAGCGCCCTGTGTTAGGCAGCCATGATTGCGTGCGAGCGAAGGGTGCAGCGGGTATGAAGGGGGCGATTGTCTACTCTACCCATCGTTCAACCACGTTCGACCCGTCCGTCACCTTGTGACACGTTCGGTTCCTTCTTTTAGGTTGATTCGCTCGCAGATTTATCTTCTTTTTTAATTTCTCGCAGGCTGAAGATTGTTCGCAATCTAGTTTTCTACGAGTCTCGCTAATCTGCGCTACCTTGTATTAACTATTATTACGAGCAAAGCCGAACAAGGCCGAACCGAATGATTAAAACAAGAGAGGAAGCGCAGCTAAAGAAAAAAATAGCTTTGCTTCCTTGATTTCGAATACTCGTTGCGCACAACTTTTCGTTATACAGCGCTAGTCTTTCCTGGATCCTCGCACACGCACCAACCGATCCAAATATGATAATACTTTATTTTTACTAACAATGTCGTTTACTAATCGCCGATGACGTTTCTACACAATCCGAACTCTTCTTAGGCAGAACGATTGTTCACGATCCCGTACAGTTCCCGTTCGCATCTCTTCTTTTCCCCTTTTTCTTCGATACTTTCTACCACTGTTTCTTCCCCTTCCTGCTAGTTTCTATCTTCCTCACCTCACCCTTACGTTCTCCTTCCTCTCCTTTTCATTGCTCACCCTCCCTCACTCTTACCCCACCCTACCCCACCCCGGCCCACCGCACACCCCACCCTACCAAGACTGGTGCTCGCACTCGGGGGCGGTCCTCCGATAGTTCGTAATTTTACTTTTCCTTTCTTCTTTATTACACTGTTCGTTCTATCTCTATGATCACCTTCTTCGCCGCGAATAGAACATATCGGATACGTTCGTGAAAGCTGTACTACTAGTTCCCGTCGAACATCGATGGAACGGCCATTTTTCGATTTCGTACCACGGCACTCGTAATGCTTATAAACGCCGCAAGATAGCGACCTGAATGCTCGATCGATGTCTACCTTCCTATCTCCCTTTTCCTTCTATGATTTCAAACGTTTCACGATCCAATCAGTCGGAATTAAACGTCGTGCTCAGTATACAAGTTCACCTGCTTGTATGTATGTATGATGCATGCATACATACATACGTAAGTACATAAGTACCTTCTCTTCTCCTCCTCCTACTCCTCCTCATCGTTAATTCCGCAAAAATTGATCGAATATTTTCTGCGAATGTATTTTTTTTGTGAAACAGTGTTTTAATACAAGGTTATTTCTATCACAAAAATATTTTTATATCAAGTATGTAAGTACATAAATATGTGTGTATGTACATTGTACATATATTCATCGCGATCTATACTATCCACTCCGGTGTTTCACGTATCGTAGATTACTACTCACGATTATAGTTTGTTTATCATACGTTTATTCAATAATTCCCACAATACTTATACATACATAATAATCTCATTCTAATTATTAAATAAATAATTAAAAATTACCATCGTTAAAAGAAATGACTGAAACGCAATGAAGAACCCTCTACCCGCTATGTAAGTACGTAAGTACTTACATACGTATGTGTCTATACACGTTTTTAGAAAATTGAAATTACATGCTCTTTGCGCGCTGTCCTTTATTCAAATTTTTTATCATTTAACGTCTCATCTGAATTTAACGTAAAAGTGGTAAAAGCGTAGTAGACATTTAACGAATAGTAGTAATCTTTAGATTGTAATTCACATTACCTCCGAGACATATGCAATTTTTCATTTTTTTGACATTGTTTATAAATAGCGAGAACAAATACGCTCGTTCGATCAATTTTTGTGAGTAAAACGCACGGTAAACGTGTAAGTATCGTTAAAGCGAAGCATAGAAGTAGTATAGAAGTAGCATAGAATATTGCTGATAGTAGATAAATATTAATGAAAAATGTGTTTTTACAATGGAAACGTCAAATGCTTTTTCGTTTATTTTTAAAATTGAAAGATCCGAAGGAGTGCCATCTCTTGGACGTCGCGATACAAGATAGACAGATACACAAGGCAGCACTATATCCCATTATTGCCGCCGTCGGCGCCGCCGCGCCGCTGCTGCTGCTCTTGTTGCTGCTGCTGCTGCTGCTGCTGCCTGCTCTTGTAATATGTACTTCATACGATTTCATTTAAATTTGTGCACATTGTATTTAAATATACGTATGAATTGGATGGTTGTTTCTATTGGCAGTTGGTGAAGTAGACACGATTAAAAGGTTAAACATTTCGAATTATGAAGCTATAATGTTAAATGTGATACGAGCTAAATAAACGAAGCGATATATGTACATATTCAATAATAAGCAAATTACGGATCAAATACGATTTTCTTTAACGCGAATATAACATCGTGTGTCAGTATCGATGTATGCATGTATGCAATATCGCGTGTTCGAGCATACCTCGAAGAGTTTGATTTTATTTTTTATAGATTCTGTATTCTATACGTATTTATGTATGTATATACACATACATACATACATATGTATGTAAGTACGTGTGTTAAGTCTTATTGTTATAAGCTTTACATTGTTTTTGTTCTTCAGAAGAGAAGAAACGCGATAGTGCAATGCATGTAGTAAGAGCAACGTTCAATTCACATATGTGTGTAACTTGATATTTTTTGTTTAGATAATCGTTCAGATATTCGAACGGGATTTTCTACCACTGTAATTTTTCCCATTTTTTCTTTTCCCTTCCCTTCCTTATTCTTGTACCTGTGAAAGTGGTGGTATTTCGAGATTATAAAGAATTTTAGGTGTCATTCAAGGCGAAATCGATCGATATACATATGTAAGTATAGACTCGATACAGTTGAAAATCGGTCGAGATACCAACGACATGGCCGGCGCGTACAAATTTATTGTTAGTCACGCAGAAGCCGTGCATTTCTCACATACATATACCCGATCGAATGTCATGCTCAAGGTAAGAATTGTGCTTTGATTTGGGTCGGCTTGATCATTCGGTTAAAAGAGAACACATGGAAATATTTCAATAAAAATACAATATTTGTTTATAAATAAAAAAAACGGAAATGACAAATTGAATTTGTTACAAGACAAGAAGATGGAATGTTGAATAAGACAGAGTAGTCGGACTCTCGGATCGATTCAATAATAGATGCTCCCATGAATTTAGAACAATTTCAAGCCGCAGTTTTTAAATGAGCAGTATAACTATTTTCTTTCTAGGAAAGCGATTCTTTCTGGAAGAAAGATCAAATTCTTTGCTGATTAACCGAAGAATAATGTACGATGTTTCAATGCGTCATTCGTTGAAAGAATCTTTGGTTATTGTTTCACGTTGACATGATAAAAATTGAATGGAAGTAACTAATGAAATTTCGAAATGCTTAAATTACTAACTCCATTCGCCAGAGGGCATAATTTAAGTTTAAACATCTATTTTTAAACGACCCCACTCTGTGTGTATATGAAACGTAAAGTAGCATCTTTCTCCGCGCCAAGGTACTTTTCTACATAGCTTTGTTGCTTCTAATTTTTAGTCAGTGTCAATGTTAAGCAATTCCATTGCGATTATATCTCTGTACTTTTGTTTCTCATGGAAATTTCAATTGTAAGAATTCCGAAATATATGCATTTCTTTCATATAGGATCATATTTCATTCACGTACATAGATAAGCATGCATATGTGTACGCATGTACGTGAATAATTTTCAGGATTTAAAAAAGTTACATACATATGTATGTGCAATTTGTCAGGTGTTTGAATTTGGACGAACGTACATATACACACATGTGGAAAAGTAAAAACAAGTGGCGGGTTAGCGAACGCAAAGGCATTGAAACTAGTTTGTTTCTGAAAAGAGATAGAAAGAAAGAAAGAAAGAAAAAAGGGGGCAGTGGGCAAGGGTGAGTGTAAAATCGAATCATGGGGTGTATCTCGAAAGAGATGACAAGAAATCACATACCACTTCATGGTTTCAAGCAAAGACAAAGCACGAAAAAATCGTGCCGAGTGGAAAGATGGTTACACAAAGACGACGATGTCGAGTAGAACGATTTCGTAGCAACGGTGGCGGTTAACGATGGTGTGGCAACGATGACAGTAGCACGGACGGTGATAGTTCGATACGTCGCGTCGGTCGATCAAGATTTATCACTATAGGCGAACGACGAACGAACCGAAGTCCGATTGGTTGGACAAGATCGGTATGAACGTAAGGTATAGTAAATCCACGGTTCCCCCCGCCCCCCTCTCTCTCTCTCTCTCTCTCCCTCTTACACACACTCTCTCTCTCTCTCTCTTTCTCTCTCTCTCATCTGGGGCACAAACAGCGAACGAGTAGAATTCGTCGCCGCGATCTAGATATCTAACACCAAGAGTTCGTTTACGAATCGGTGGCCCAAGTTCTCTGACGAATGAGCTAGAGCCAGAAAGCGAGTCGTGTCGCGTTCCACTGGCATTGGACTGACACAACCAGCGTGTATGTTCCTTTTCTTCCATCGCCTCCTTCTCTTCTTGATCTTTTCAGTCTTCCATCCCATCCCTCGAACACCGATTGCGGTCGTTACTCGATAGTATAGGCACATATACGTAAGTTGTATGTACATATACCAGACCTTGGCTGTACCAATACTTGATATATCGTATAGATTACTGCCATCCAATTATCAATTCCCCTCTATTCGTTCCACGAGCTATTAACACAACCACTGAGAGCGGTCGTTAATCAGTTTTCGGTCTGCCTGATCACTGGTGGTTTGATTTAGAAATGTTCGATATTGACGTAGAACGACGCGACGGTTGCGATGGTTACTTTAGCACGTAGATTAGCTGAATGAAGAGAGGAGAAGGTCCAACCAGAGGGAGAAACCTATTTTACGTGTGTCGGGCGCATTCTTACACATATCTTGTTTGAAGTTCCGTTAAGAAAAGAATTAAAATGAAATTTTAAACCAATGGGCTTAAAAACAATGGGCAAAGGTATTACTAAAAGTCTCGCGATACGTCGAGGAATACTGTTCTGTATAAATATGGTGCTCAAAAGTGTTAGAATAATGGATACAGTCTATTACATATGTATGTATGTATTTATGTACGTTAATTCTGCCCAAATAACTGTTGCGATTATATTATACATTACCACTTTTTTGCATGTAACTCTCGTGTGTGCGCACGTTAACCAATTAGAAAATCGAAGTCAGAGGCGATGAAACTAAAAAATTTTAAAAGACTGCTAAGGTTGTCTCAAGATTCTCTGCGAGGAAATACACACGGTTATATTTCGCGTATTCCGCCTTCGCGTTTAGCAAAGTTGTGTTATTTCGGTACGGCATCGGTTAGAGCATGCTCGCAGGAGATTCGCACGATTCTTATATTCGCGATGAATGTCACAATTTCACGAAAGAGTCGACTAACGCTAACCGATTCCCGTCGTCTTACCCTCCTACGTATAGAGAGAGACTTTTATTCTTGATGAAATCCAGAAATACGACGATGTCCGATCGGTGGTTAATCATTATTGAAGGCGGGAAAAACTGTACCGAAAAAAAAAGACGAAACAATATCGAAGCAATGCCAATATGTACCGCGCGATATGGAAAAGTAATTTTCCGCCTTTCTTCACGACATTCGTTCATTTTTCATGTATTACTCTAATTCTGAAATCAGACAGGTGAACTAAACGCGACTGTGCTACTATGCCAGAATCGAGAATAGCAGCGGTCAGACGAAATACCGGAATACCAGACTTTGATTGAATACTGCTTATGGAACATAGTCCATACTCGTAATGTGATGGTGTATGCAAGTGTACACATACATATGTACACACTCAAGCGCCGGGCCGTTCTTAGGACCGATTTTAATCGTCTTACTGATTCTTTAACGATGCACTCGTTGCAACAAATATCTACACATTTGTATCTACTAAAATTTTATTAAATCTTAATAAATTTCCGCTACTCGCTATTTTTCTTCCTTCAACACCATTTACTGGTAATGTATATTGTAATTATAATTATAAGGTATAGTAAATTAATATTGTTATCTCTGGATTGTTTCATTGAAAGAATAAAGTGTCGATAAATTTTTCATTTCTTTAATTAAATTTATTTATTACCCATACATGTTAACAAATATCCAAATTTATAAGTTAATGGTATTATTATTATGATAATTATTATTACTATTATTATTACTATTACTAGTATATACCTGAACAAGAAATACAACTAAATCAGCAAAGTTTAATAAAAGAACAACGGATCTAAGTACGTACACAGCGCCACTATCTTCGTTCTTGTCGCTTGACACGCTCTCATACATAAGTATCTAGTACTTATGTATGCATGCGAACGTTAACCTTGCTTGCTTGCTTCCTTCCTTCCTTCCGGAATTAAACTGATGTATATTTGTTTAAACAAATTCGAAACTTTTTAAATGATTTTCCTTTTACTCTATCTTTTTTCTTTTGTTTTCGTTTTTTCTTTGTTTATGCACATTTGTACTTTTTCTTCAGAATAATTCCTACGATTTCATACAAAATAGTTATAATACGTGCAATTGCAAACATGTTCGATATATACGTACAGGTATAAACTGTAACAATTCGTGCCTTTCTCAGACAAAACGTGTAATAAGTAAGTACTTAACGCACGAAACAATCGTTTCGATGCGCATAGTTCAAGTGTTATTAAGATGTCGCTGTATTCGTCGACCTTACTTTGACTTTGTCGAGTCAAAGTTTAACGACGATAGGAGGTATTTGAAGGTAGAGGAGAATCTGAGAAGTAACTGGTACAGTGTACAAAGTGTGTTAAAGTTGAGAAACTGTAATAATATATTATCTTTTAAACGTGAAATAGCAACACATTCAAAATTCAGAGCGATGGCGTTGAATAAACTCAGCATTGATAAAGTGAATCTTACGGATAAACGAGTCCTCATACGGTATAACTCTTTATATTGCCCTTTTTCTTCTAAGAATTTAGTTTTAACATGATTGTTGCATGAAATACATATTGCGTAATTCGCACGCTTTGCTAAATTTACGTAGAAAATCTTTTTTTCTAATATGCGATCACCGTCAAATCAACCGTTGCGTTGTAGGTTAATTGACACTTTCGCGGCCGTACGCATTTCATACCCCGTTACTTTATGTGACAACAAATATCAGTTCAGAGCTGGGCATTTACATTTATGTAAATATAAAGCAAGAAAAAACATTACTCGTTAACCAAGCTAAACATCGTCCGAACGTTTTTATTTAAACACACTAAGAGATGACCATTTGCGATTCGTTAGAAATAAAAGACACTATAGCATGTCTAATTATTAGATGTAACAGTTAACAAGACTTAGTACTGCTACTAATCGTCAGCTGTGAAGATATCAAGTTTGTAATACTTGTAAGCAATAATTGCAATATGGTTGTTACAGGGTAGACTTCAATGTGCCACTGAAGGATGGTAAAATTACTAATAACCAAAGAATCGTTGCTGCTTTGGATTCAGTTAAATATGCTCTTGAAAAGAAAGCTAAATCTGTTGTTTTAATGTCACATCTGGGGCGTCCAGATGGAAAACGAGAAATGAAATACACCTTAAAACCAGTCGCAGAAGAATTGAAATCTCTACTTGGAAAAGAAATTTTATTCTTAAATGATTGTGTTGGTTCAGAGGTCGAAGCTGCTTGTAGCAATCCAGCACCTGGCACGGTTATCTTACTTGAAAATTTAAGATTTCACATTGAAGAAGAAGGTAAAGGAGTAGGAGCTGATGGAAATAAGGTAAGTGGTTCGTATACTATTTTCATTTACATAATAATCTTCATTTTATAAAGGTAGAAAGTAATTTTATTATAGGTAAAAGCAGACAAAGAAAAAGTGGAGGAATTTAGAAAATCGTTAAGAAAATTAGGAGATATTTATATTAATGATGCCTTTGGCACAGCCCATCGTGCTCATAGTTCTATGCTCGGTGAAGGATACGAAATTAGAGCTAGTGGTTTTCTTTTGAAAAAAGAATTGAACTATTTTGCCAAAGCATTGGATAATCCAGAAAGGCCGTTCTTAGCGATACTGGGAGGTGCTAAGGTTGCCGATAAAATACAGTTGATTAATAATTTGCTAGACAAAGTTAATGAGATGATCATAGGCGGTGGAATGGCTTATACCTTTTTAAAAGTATCGAAAAACATGAAGGTAGGTACTGCACGGCAAATTGTTATTCGGCTGGAAAGAACGTCTAATCGAAGATACAATGTTTTTCGTTTAGATTGGTAACTCGTTGTTTGATGAAGAAGGTGCAAAAATTGTTAATGATTTATTAACAAAAGCTGAGAAAAATAAAGTTCAAATACATCTACCCGTTGATTTCGTTACCGCAGACAAATTTGCAGAAAATGCAGCAGTCGGCGCAGCAGATCTTGAAAGTGGCATACCTGACGGTTGGATGGGCCTTGATGTCGGACCAAAATCACGGGAACTGTTTAGCGGTATGTCTCCACTTTTCTTCTCATTTTCGATGTATACTAAGAATCTTGAGGTACACACATTGCAAGAATTCGTGCGTTGGCATTTCATTTACAGACCCTATTAAGAGAGCAAAAACAATTGTCTGGAATGGACCTGCAGGTGTTTTTGAATTCGAAAATTTCAGTAAAGGCACGAAAGGCCTAATGGACAACGTTGTAGAGGCGACGTCACATGGTACCATTACCATAATTGGGGGTGGTGATACAGCCACTTGTGCTGCTAAATGGGAAACAGAAGATAAAGTAAGCCACGTAAGCACCGGTGGTGGTGCGAGCTTGGAGCTCCTCGAAGGCAAAGTCTTACCAGGAGTTGCAGCTCTTTCTTCGTTGTAATTCTAAATCCGATAAAATATCATCTACATTTGTAGGTTTTAGTTAGTATCGGTGCTTTAAAAACATCGATTTTACTTAATTATCAATTTAGCATCGATATTCAATGGAACAAATAGGCTGTTTATTAATTCTTCGTAATATATGCCGTGTCGGTGTAATTTATGTTTAAAGAATACCTGTATCTGTTTAGTACATAGTGTAAGAAATACTTTGTCAATGTTTACGACGAAGAGCAGTATGAAATATATTTATAGTTATACGACAGTAACGATCGATATTAAGAGCAGCAGCAGCAGCAGCACTAGCACTACTACTACTATTGCTAGTGTTTCGCGTGCAATTTTTGTTATTAGAAATGATGTACAATATTTAATAAGCATATATGGTATAATTCCTATTAGGATTGTGAAGGTAAAAAAGTATGGCACAAAAAACATCGGTAATCGTACAAGTCATGTATGTACTATACTTAAATGAAAACAGTATAAAGTGTAACACAAATACACCTTCTGTACGATAAAACATTTAACATAGTTCGATCAAAAAGGAAAGAAAGAAAAGTGATACAATTGCCATGGACTTTGCACTATAATATGAAATACCATTAAAAGTAACGCAATGTTATTTTTCCCAAATACAATGGTATTATTATATAATACAATACAATGCAGTGCTACTTATATTTTCAGATATATGCAAAAAATAAATGTAACGCTTTACATATAGCATATACGTACATACGTACGATTATCGAGAATAATAAATTGTATTAAATACCTTTCCCACACACGCACACGCACACACACACACACAAAACATCAGTGTGTTGTATATCTATAATTCGTTATTTTAACTTCTCTTAAATATCTCTTAGCCCTTTGTATTATTTTGACGCACTGATTACACAATCGTTAAAATAAATTTACATTAAACAACAGTGTTGCGGAGGCTCCATGTTACGTAATAACGCTGGAATAACAGGATCACCTTCAGCATCGGTTCTTGTTGTTGGTCCTATCAGTTCTTCGGGTAATTGACCACAGGACAGTACTTCTTGCATAAGTGACATTTTTGTTTCAAAACGTTTTTTTTTCATTTCTGCCGTATCTTCGTCTGTCTCCTTTTCAAGTTCGGTACATATCTAAATTGAATGGAAATTGCACATGTATCAAATAATGTTGCCAACATCGATACTACAATAGAATGGAATTTTCATATGAAAAAAAAAAAATATATATATATATATTGCATAATAACCTGTTGTATCAATTCAAACTGTTTTGTAAACCTTTGTAGATCATTAGACGGTATTGTTGTTTTCTTTTCTTCTAACAACTCAGGGTATTCATGTGCTAGTTGCTTCATTGCTGGATACAAAAGTTCTTTCGATAATAAATGCTCTAGCAGTACTTGTAAGAATGGTGGAATGACATCAGGACAATCTTCTAAGGCTGCTTGCCCAAAAATTTCGGATAAGTCAGCCCCGTTCTGTAATGTTTTCACAAAAGACTCTATTTACAAGAATTACTTCAATAATTGTTCAAGCAAGTACCTGTAAATTTTCTGTTGTTATGGACAAGTCGTTCATGGCTCCAGCAATAGCTGACTGAAAGTCTATACTTGCAATGTCTTTGTCAGAGGTATCTTCATCTTTTGTTGGACTTGTAAGTTTCCTTGCCATTGTTTGGGGAGAAACTCCTAATTCGCCATCTGTTTCTAATAGGGAAATTTAAAATAATATCTTCCTTGCATTTTTCACAAACTATTACCATTTAGAAACATCATCTTGAATAAAAGTTTTCCTGCATCGTCTGTAGACCAAGTATCCTCCAAAATATCAGTTACATTTTTATCCGTTGTAGATTCAGAAGCACCTATTTTGCTTGCATCCTTTTTATCTGATTTCTGTTCTTTGTTGAAATCCTCCAAAGCACCTGAGATAGTGATTATACAATGACCATTGTTGAAACTTGCAATTATATGTAAAAAAAATGAAACGGAAGAAGAAGAAGAAATAATCGTTTTATATTTCAAGAATTTTCAGTTTTCTCCCCCTTTCCCTTTTAATTTAATAATCCCGTCGATTTCGTAATAAAAACTAGGTAAAGTATTAAACATTATTTTTCTGAAGTAAAAATTAATATAAAGTACATTGATTTTTCTTTGCCCATTTTTCCACGGAGAAATCTATAAACTCAATATGAGGAACACACCGAATGAGAAAAAGCTAACAAACATTGGATATTTGCAGAATTTGAGGTTAGGATTGTTGAATCATATTTATTCAATCATAAATAAAGAACATTATAATTACTCACTGTCTAATAAGTCATTTAATTCTTGATCTTCCGCTTGTTTCGTAGCTTTTTCATCGGCCATATCTGTCGTTTAGTGACTTCGTTGTTAATAATTTTTAAACTACGATCAGAAATGCACGTATCAAAACGCTGTAGGTTTATTATCTTTTACATATATATGCATGTATGCATGTGTACACTGTGCAGAGCTGGAAAGATGTCCAGCGGAAGGAATGCAAGTCTGCTTGGTTTATACCCCCATAGGTCCACCTTTTCTAACACAATCGTACAAATGAGCACACGTATTGTCTTTATCGGCCGACGTCATTGCATCAACGAATCGGATTATATACAGTTACTCCCACTCGTATTCGTACACCATACGGACATTTCGCATAAATAAAAAAAAAGAACACTTTTCTTCGGGATATTTTTTATTTATGTTCAGCAGACTTCATTATTACACTATCTTACATCTATTTACAAAGTAGTTTTATTTTTCATTACTTGGAAATACAATAAATAGAAAAAGAATGTCACTATCCATAAAAACCATTGTCTTCCTTTGTCACTGGCTGTAGCCAATAACGACAGTGCGTGTGGTAGCAGGAGAGGTGGAACAGAGTGAGAGCGTAAACTCTGACTAGCCAAAATCTCACGAACGCAGAGTATGCCTTAAGTACTTACATATATCTATTGCACAGCAGTATACATATACTGTGGGTCCACGAGAAGATGTCATGCGAGACGACACAGGGGCAACGGGGGTACTTCGTTTGCATTGCCTGTCTGCCCCATCATCAGCCCCCACTCATAAGTTCTTGGCGGCACACGCTGACATAAATAGTACGTCTAGTAGCAGTAGGATTCATAATTTACAAACCGCGAATATGGGGATCCTACCGAATTAGCGAAATATGATTATTTTCACACATATTTGGGTACACAAATACGTATTAAACATGTTAAACACTGCATACGTTTATGAAATTCGGAAAGTGAATTTCGAAAATATTTTACTTTCGTTACGGTCTGTTACGAGGATTTAGAATAAGCTTGCCAACACTCCTTTCCGGCATTTCTCCCTCGTCTAGGACAATTCTCTGATCCAGAGACTGTTTTTGATTTACGTGTAAACACCAGACGGTCCTTGCCTGCGTCTTTGACCTTAGGCTCATCACATGGCAACTTACAAATTTTAGACTTTTAGAAATAAAGAAACCTTCTCGGAAAATCACACTCGGCAATAGAGTGGAAAAATTGAATAACTTCTTTAAGATCATTGTTGTGCCCTGAGCAATCTTCCTATTTTCAATTACTTAATTTAACATTTTATTTTAATTTTAGTATTCTTAGTTTTTATAGTTTCGTCTATTTCTTGAAGTTTACTTTAGTTCAGTTCAGTGTTAAGGTTTAGTGTTAGAGTAGTGTTTAAGTTTAGTGATATTGCATCACTATTGAAAACTATGGGATTTCAATGGGGAAAAAAGTAACAGCATTCGGTAAATTTTAATCGAAAAATCGAATATAGTGACTTGGAGAGGAAAATATTTAAAATCGTTACCTCACCACAGAAGAATAGGAAGAAATGTAATATACGTACATATGTATATCGATGAAACATGGGTGGATAAAGTGCCCTCTGTTTCGGGAAATGCCTGGCAAAGCAACGAAGTACAAGGAATACTTCAAAACTCAAGTTCTTCCCACTGGCTGATAATTGTTGGAAGTTGTGGGTTGTGGGAAGAACGGATTCGCGAAAGGTGTTGATCTTATTTTTAAAGCGAGGAGCACCAACGGTGATTAACATGGTCGAATGGGCTCAGCGAACTTTGAGAAATGGACAATGGAGAATATTAATCAAACACGAATTAAATACTGACTCTGTCGCAAACTGTTTTCTTTGTTTTATTGAACAGAGTAATACTGTCACCCAATAAATTACGAATATACGATAAAATTATTGTTCGTATTTGAAACGTCATTTGCACTATTTTTTTGAAATTGTACTCTTACAAACGAATTAATCGAGTAATAAAGCAAAATATATGTACATATAACATTGTATAAGTAAAATACGTTTCGTTTTATTTATTAACGGTAATATTTGATAATGTACAAATTTAATACACGTAAAAGAAATTCAACATTATCATAAATTACCTTTCTTGATTTGTATCATGATCAGAAAAAACTTTCTTCAACACCCGATAACATACGTCTATCTGATCGGGATTTTCTTCTTGTTTTAAATCACTTATACAACGTTCCAACGTGGATTGCAAGGAAAGCTCCGGTCGTCGACATTCTTTTAAAGCAGCGTAAAAGTCATCATTGGTTAAACCATCGAGAATATTTAACAATTGATCTCTGTAATGTTTGAGAATTGTTCAACATCCTCTTGAATTTAATAAACAAGAATGCAGTATATATCAAATAATACCTAATCTCTGGTAATAGATCATCAATGACTAGCAAACCTGCTGCTTGCTCAATCAAGCCCATATTCACTAGTGTTAACTTCATATCTGTTGTATTTTCTTTGCTACAAAGTGCGGATAAGAAAAAGGCGGATTTAATTTGTAATTTCTTCACCGAACTTTGCATAGCTCTTAAGAGAACAGAGTATCCATCATTTATGTCCATATATTTCAAAGATATTGGGTGCTCCCGAACTATGCCTATTTTTAATAAACATAACACAGACCACATTATCCATAATATGGTAGGTAATCGACAAATAGATAAATCTGATTGTTATTTCAATAGAAATCTTTTACTTACAAGAAACCGCATATAGAGCTTTAATTCTAGCAGCTTCTGCTGGATCTGTGTCTATCATGTTCAGTAATATGGGAAAGAGACCTGTTTCTAAAAATCTTTCTTGGCAAAAGGGATTATTTTGAGCTAGTTCAGCAATTACATCTGCTGCCCTCCATCTAATACTGCTAAGAGGAGAATTTAAACATGGACCAAATATTGAGAAACCCCCAATTTTATAAAAGTCATTGGCAACATCTATATTATCTACAAAATCTGAGATCCTTTCCAATGCAATTTCATACTGGGTAGCATCATCCTCTGGTCGAAGGTCAACTACATTCGACAGAATTTTAATAGCTTTTTGTAATTCATCTATCACATTACACGTCATAGAGGAAAGTGCTTGTCTCAAAAATTCTTGCCTCTGAAACATAACTGATCTTCAACTGATCTTGTATGAAAGTTATATAGGTAATAATAATTAAAACATAATTGTGACATGTACTTCTTTATCCAGTGGTTGGAACTGACTACTGCTAGTGATATTTTGAGAATTTGTCGCTTCCATAGCAAATTTGAGTAATCCTTGTAAATTTGATGGTTGTCTAGGTTGATTTGGTAGCGGGTCAAGTACTCGTGTTTCAGTGTTACTCATATTTGAAGGTCCTTCAATCGACAATGGCCTCGCGCTGCTACTTGCACGCGAATGTCCCTCTACTTTTCCTCGATCGTCTGAACGTTCAGAGCTAAAATAATATCCACAAAAGAATAACCAATGACCGCTTTCAAATACAATCATGAATAAGTAAGCCAACTATAAAGATATCTTTACTTCTCCATTTTTTCTGTGACTTTAGTCGTATGCGCTGCACCCATTAATCGAACAAAGTTGTTTCAGATATGATAATGGCAAGAGTACATTATAGAATTCAATTTTTATCACTGTTAATTCCCGTTACCACTTTCGTAAATTCTCGAAACAAGTAGAATTCTGATCGAGACGCGTAGTTTTCGTATGGAAAACAATTTCGACACTAGACACGATTTGGTTAGAGGCATGAATAAATTCGGTACACGCGTGCGCAAAACTGCTTGAAAGCTTCGTAAGAATGTAAATATTGGCATATCGAAAGAAACCAATTTATCCAATTAAATCAATCTTTCAATAAAGTTATTGTAAATCATAGTGAACGTATGATTGAAAATTATAATTACAAATAGATAACGTGAGGATAGAATAGCGACTTATCTAAATAAAACATAAAAAAGAAAATTTTTTATAAATTATACTTTACTTACAGTTTTACTCTGTGTAATACACACTTTTAGTTTATATTTGAAATATACATATTTCCAATATACCTACTAGAAATTATAAACTGTTTTAAAAATTTTATTCTGTCCATCTATGAGAACAATGCTGATTAGTGCACACATAGTATAACCTCATTTCTTCTTCTGCTCGTCTAGTTTGTGCTTGAAAAAAGACTGCTTCTCTGTGATTACACTTTGGACATGGATGTTCTTCGGTTCTTGGTAAAGTAGGGTCTGATATGACATCTGCTACAATGTGGGTTAATTCACTGGAATTATAAAAATTATGGTAAAACACAATGAATACCACAATGTGTTCGATCATCTTGGAAAGCAATGTGTTTACATATAACATACATTTTTGCAAATTTAATGTTTACGTTTTATTTTGTACAAATGATTTTACAAATTGTTTCTTCTACTTACTCTATTTCGTGCATAATCTTGTTCACGTAAATACAGTTACTGTCAGCCAGTTGCTTGAAATCACAGTTTCTACACTGAAAGGAACATTTGATGTGACAAACTTTTAACATTCTATTTCAATGTTGAAAACGAAGCGCATTTTGTTTGCAATACATACCGCGTACATTAATACTTTGTTCTCTTTATCTTCTTTCGGATATAGCATGTTGTTGCATTCTTGACAAAATCTAATGCCAACAAAACCTGGTCCATCGTCGTGCGTGTCATAACCAGTTATTTTTGACATATTTCGCGCGCCTTACGTTCCCTCGTATTCAGTGAAGTTCAGTAAAAAGATAATGAAGTTGACGTTTGTCGAAATCTTGCGTAGATCAATCAATTATTCTCCAATGATCTTATACGTAGTTTTAAAATGAGTAATGTCAATTTTATACGAATTTATTATTCCCATTTTACTAAACGCATCACGTATCATATGCACCTTACTTTTATCACTAGGTTCTCTATCATTACGAGAGAGGACACGTGCTTTGAAACGTTTTTCTAAACCAATTAAAATTCACAGATGAAATTACCTAAATAGTACTGAGCTTCTATTGGTAGCTAATAATTGAGAATTTTAATTTTGAATACGTTTCAACCAATTACATAGGCGAAAATTAAAACAATCGTATGAACTATGTAATAAAAGAATAAAAAACTAAATGGTAAAAATGCAAAAGAATAGTATATATTTTTATTATTATTTGAATCTGTTATTATCTATACGCACTTAACTAATCTTGTACATTTCCTATGCGTTGGAAGCTTAAATCAATGGAGT